TATATATATATATTCATGTAGTCTGAACTAGTTACAATGTCATTGGACTTCTATGTTTAAATGTACTATATGTCTAATTAGTTATTATAGTTACTTATATGTAATTGAGTATGATTTTGAAATGTGAAGTAAAAAATATAAACTAAGAATTAGAGCTCTATAAACAAACTTGTCTTATCTGTTTGATTTTCTTCTGCTGCCAAGTGCTGATTGGCACCTTGCCCATCAAATTACAGCTGAATAAATTAATTTAAAAATATAACATGCTATTGGACTTGGATCATGTAAGGAGATGCAAGTCTGCTGAATAATGGTTAGACTAGGCTGAAGAAAATGTAACGGTGTAAATAACTTTTCTCTAGCTCAGGCTCTTGAACTGTTGCTGCTGTGTTGTTAAAGACAAATGTGCATTAATGTCTCGCGTTAATTGTAGCTCCACTGAAATCATCCAGCTGATGTATTATCAGGCTCTGATTTAAAAAAAAAAAAAGAAAGAAATCATCATCATGGTTTGATCTTAATAGCTTGTTGCAGTGACAACAGCTACACAGAAATTTTAAGCCACTTTCAAATAACTAAATTATCCTGGGTTGCATTTGCACAACAAGAACAGCCTAATCCCTGACCCCCTTAAAGAAGCTACAAACAAGTCAAAGATGGTGTGGGTTTGATGAGTAACAGATTTATTTTGGGTGGAGTACCCCTTTAATTGTTTCAAGATACTGATAAATAAGCATGATGTAGCTAAAAATGTAATAAATAATCACTGAGAGCAGACAGCTAGTCATATAATCTCACTCAGCTTGCTATTTGCTTTTCTCTCATCCCCTCCTAGATCGAGTATAATGACTCCCTGAAGGCCTACCACAACTCGCCAGCTTACCTGGCCTATGTCAACGCTAAGAACCGGGCTGAGGCTGCCATGGAGGAGGAGAGCAGGCAGAGACAGAGTCGTATAGACAAAGGAGAACCATACATGAGCATTCAGCCCGCCGAAGATCCTGATGGCAAGTTTTACAAAGGAACCTTTTGAAAATCATTTGCGAGGTCCATCTGTTATGATGCTTGATAACATGAATAGAAGGAAAAGCTATGCGAAATTAGAGAAACGTGCAGAACTGTTCACTTTCTTCCCCTCATTAGTCAGTCACATCTATCTTTCTTCCCCCTCTGTCTAGACTATGACGATGGTTTTTCAGTGAAGCACACGGCAGCTGCTCGCTTCCAGAGGAACCACCGGCTCATCAGCGACATCCTCAGTGAGATTGTGGTACCTGACGTGCGCTCGGTGGTCACCACAGCCCGCATGCAGGTCCTCAAGAGGCAGGTTCAGTCTCTTATGGTGCACCAGGTATGGTGAAATCACAGGTTTTCTGAAAAGCTTTGTATTACTGGAGAACGATAATGTCCTGTGTGCATGGAGAACAATTGTCAGTTACTAACAAACTCTTGTGCTTCAGAGGAAGCTGGAGGCAGAACTTCTGCAGATTGAGGATCGCCACCAAGACAAGAAAAGGCGATTTCTGGAGACAACTGACTCATTCAACACTGAACTCCAGCGGGTACAGCAGGACTTATGCATCTAGAGGCAGCTAATGTATAGTGACGATAAGGTTTCATTCCAGATCACTAAACATCCATTTGAAATTATGTGCAGCCACTCTGATGTTAATTACCTCAGAACAAGTGCAAATATGAACCTGAATTCAAACGGATGAGGATTATTACTACTGTAGAATACACTAAATGGTCAAGTGTTATCATTTGTAAAAGACAGAAGGTGCATTTATTTTCTCTAATTTGTATTTGCATAAATTTGTGAACCTGTATTTTGTTCTCACTAGTTTGACTTCGTATTCAGTCTGGAGACAACTTAAAGTTCTTGAAAATGGAAAGTGTTGTAGCCAGTGTTTCCTGTGTCTCCAGCTGTGCAGCCAGAAGGTTGAGGTGGACATGGAGAAGCTAGCAGCAGAGATGGCTGCCGCTGAAGAGGCTGCAAGGCGTCGGGCGGAGGAGAGGGAGCGCGAGGTGGCCGAGCAGGCAGAGAGAGCTGTCGAACAGGCTCAGCAACAGCAGCAACAGCAGGAAGCTGCTGGAAACAAGGCTACCGAACAGAGCAGTGCTAATGCTAACCTCACCTCAGGGACCAAGGAGGAGGACAAGCCCACACCAATGGAGTCAGGTACCTACTCACACACTGACATCGTCTGCTTATCAAACTGAAAATCACAGTCAAATTTGAAGACATATACATTGAATTCAGGTGACACCTTCTTTGTCATTTGAGTTTTGTAGACATCTTTCTGTACTCTTGTTTATTCTTTGTTTTGTATGCTTATATTGTGTTGCACTTGGTTTACATTATCAGGAAAAGGGCTATATAATAAAAGTTTTTCTATAATAACAGTTTTCCTCAGAAGTCAAAAATCTGCCGCATTTTAATTGAGAAAATGGACATTCCTCTGTAATCACACTATTGAAGCAAACAAGTTGCTATAGCTAAAATACTGGAAAGCCGTCACTGGTTTTAGGAGCTCGGCACTGCCCCTTGCTCTGCATCATCAAGAACACTATAGAACAATGTCAACCACAAAGTACATTTTTTGTGCAAGTGTTCAGACATTAATTTGATCCAAAGTCAATGTTTTCCTCTGTCCTTTATCCCCAGATGAAGTGCCTACAGAGCCCTCGTCTGACCCCCAGCCTGTTCCACCTCCTCCATCAGACCCTGCCTCTTCTGCCTCTGACAAAGCAATCCCCAGCCCCGAGCCCCCGAGGGAGAGCAGCACTCCCAGCAGCAGGTCCCCCAGTGATGACAGCAGCAACAGCAGCATGCCTCCTCCACCGTCAGACAGCACCCCTGGATCGGCAGCCCCAGATGCCCCAGTGGCCCAGGAATCCACCTGCAGTGCGGCTGCACCACCACTTGCCCCTGCCTTAGACGAGCCAGCGCCAGGACCACTACTGCCCCCCAGCCAAAAAAGCCAACAGTATGATATGTAATGTAGTCAGCTTGTTAGATCCACAGTGGTACCTGTAGAAGTCCTCCCTGTGCTGCAGCTCTCCTGTACTCCTATTCAGGTGTGGAAGAAGTGTGACTTGTATGGTGGCTTTCTCAGAACAGATGTCTAAACATGAGAAATGTTGAATGGTTGAGGGTCTGTTTGTAAGGTCAGTAAATAACCAACATATATTTCATGCAAGACTTCATGTAGGATTTCATCCAGCTTCATGCAGCTGGACCAAGAGTATAGACAGGAATATGGGAATAATCTGTGTATGCTTCCTTTAAATTTGCTCAGTATGCCTGGTTTGATGATGTCAGCAAATTGTCACCAAAGAGTACAAAATATCATCTGACTGAGTTTGTGCTCCAGGCACTGAAGCTATTCCTCTGTTCTAACCATGTCATTTTGTTAGTATGAAATAACCTTGTATCTAGACTTTAACCAGGAAAGTCTAATCTGTAAAGTGGCAAATGGTCAGCAGCAGCAGCAGTCAGCAGGTTGGCTGGTATCAAATCTGGATCACTTGCATCACTCTTACTACTTATTGCTCCTGTTGTCCAGAGTCCTCAGATACATCTCCACTTGTCAGGGTACACATTCACAACTTTAGTAAGTATTTGATGTGCACTTTTGCATAGGACTTTGAATAATCACTGGTTTTATAAAATGGCAAACTGGTGAAAATATGACTCGTAACTTCCTCCAGCCAAAGGTCTTCGACAAACAATCCAAAATATGACAGGGAAAAGCATCAAACTCTTGCATGTCAGAGGCTGGAACTGATTGGAAAATGATTGAAGTGATCGATCAGTTATCAAAGTAGTTATTGCCGAATACTCTTCTGTGGATTGATACACGGAGCTGTAATTCTTCATCACCGTACTACTGTGAGAAGGGCACTCATGTCACTGTGTGAGTTGCTCTATATTACTAATCAAGTTGTCTGTGACAAAATACAGATGCCAGGATGAGTGGGGTTCAGGAGCTGGTTGTAGTGAGAAGCAATGCTGATTCTGTGTTTCATATATATTCATAGTTAAAACCTCAATAACCTCCACTGTGTAGAGCTGGCACTGTTGAACTGGACAGGTATTTCTGAGCACACACACACAAACACTTCTATACTACTCAGTTTTTATATATAAATCAGCACCCCTCAGATTATTGTAGTATATGAGTTTGTGACTTTCCTAACTACCATTTCTTTGTTTTTAGAAATCTAGTGAAACGTTTAGATGAATATAATCAGATTAAGGTGACATATTAAACCTGGGGTTGACACATCTTGGTAGTGCAAGTGATCACTTCCAGTTCTGACGTAGGTGTGAAGGAAGCCGCCTTCTAATTGTTTGTGCATCTACATTCTGCATGCTAAACTAAATACTACTCATGATCCTGTAAGTATTTGAAGAATTACTGCAAGAGCTGAGAGCAAATAACACTTGCTGGAAATGGAAGTGCTGTTTGAATCTGTAGAAGATCATATGATTTGCATCGAGTATAAGAATGGGTGTTTAATATTCCCCTGTCTTCATTACATTTCTGTAGAAAGAATTCACACTTAAATGAGCATTTAATCTGTATGAGCTTCTCTATCAGTTGAGGCATTTTTTTAAAGATGATTTTCCTCATTTTGACTGTGTATTGCTGTTAACACCACAAGAGTTTGAACTTCAGCACTGACATGCACACGCTACCCTCATCCAAATGTAACCTCAGCCACTTATGCATTCAAAGGACTGTTTTCTTACTTGAAACACTGTTTTTAGTAATATGCCTCTGTTTTTATGCATCTTTCTTTTCTACTTTCTGAACTTCCCTAAAATAAAGATGATTTCTCAGTCGCTCACTGTGTTTTGAAGTTTTCTATTTGCAGGTAGTAGTCCTACTGGTTATCTAGAATTTTCCCTTATTCTGATTTTAGAAATAAGGTTTTAGTTTATCTTAAATCTTATTTTGTAAAACTGATCAACTGTAGAGCAGCACAGCGGTGTAGTTAGTGCTGTTGCTTCACAGCAAGAAGGTTCTGGGTTTGGCCGACCCAGGGCCTTTCTGTGCAGAGTTTGCATGTTCTCCCCGTTCCCTGCGTGGGTTCCCTCCGGCTTCTCCGCCTTCCTCCCACAGTCCAAAGGCATGCAGTTTGATCAATTGTTATATTCTATATAATACTACTTAAACATGGTTGTTTACTGTAGTATTTGGCCAAAGAAAAGAACAGGAAAAAAAAAGAATGGGCAACATAAATCATTATTTGAAAGGTACAGGTGCCGAAAAATGGAGAGTAAATACTGTGGGAACCAGATTTACTGCTTTGCGGTTGTATGCCTCCACCAACCAGTCAACTTCATGCATATGGAATGGTAGTGAGGTCACTGACCTCGATCTTTCATCACCAAAATCGAATTGGTTCATCTTTGACTCCAAGTGAACATTTATTCCAAATTTGAAGAAATTCTCTTAAGGTGTTCCTGACATATCGCATTCAAGATCATTGTACAGACGGACGAAAGCATATTGTACTCCTGTATAATGTACTTCCTGCTTGAAAAGTTATATATGTATATAACCAATATATGTATTGTGAATTTAACTATGATATCTGACGTGCAAAAACTACCAACTGGAAAAAGTACAGGCAAAACTGGTGTTAGAGCAATACAGTTAAATATTTTAAAAAAAGAGATGCTACATTCAGTAGTTTTTCTTAAAGGTAACAGCTGATGAATTAGCTACTTGTAAATTCATTCATGAACCACAAATTGGAGAGTCTTATGTTTATTTGTCAAACTATTGCTGTAACATGCAGAAATATGTCTCACTGACTCACTAATGCTAGTGTGTTTTTTTCCTGTGAGATACTGTAGCTATCTATCAACTAGTTGCTTCAGCTCTACAGTTAATTACTAGCAGAGCTCCACCCAGCTTCCACCTAATCAGGTTGCATTTCATCTTGTGAACAACAAAGTGCTAACATCTGTGTTTATGAAGCTCACAATGTTTCATTTTTTTGGTGAAATTGTCATAAATCAGTAAATTCAATGAAATGTTTATTGCTGAGCTCATAGTTAAAGGTGACGTATTGGACTATACATTCAGTGGTGCAACACAACAGCAAACAGATTGATCACTTTTATGTGAAGATATTCCATTAAATGAAGGAACAGGGGCGATTTACAAATAGCCCTCATTTTTGCTTTGAGGAGATTTTCTGAATCTTTTTGTCCAATGGGAACCTGTGGGAGAGTGAAATTCTTCAGCTCCAGAAACTCTTGTGCTGATTCAGCAATTCAATTCAGAGTGATGGCTGACCCCAACCGAGCTGCTTCAGTGTCAGGGCGCCTCGTTTATAAACGTTGCATATGCATGTAAACTCACACCTGTGCGTTTTAAACATGAGAGAAGTTGGTAACACAGACGTTGAAGCATTAAACTGAAGCCAGATTTTATACTGATCCGAGTCATGGGTTGAATTTGTCTTCATATCAAACCAGTAACAGCCTACACATTCGGGCAGCTGTGTTAGATTCCAAATCAATATAAATCTTAGCCATTTATGTCTGTGATTCATTATTAAACTATCGTTAATTAACTGAGCATCAGGCGCTGGTTCATCAGGACATTGTGTGACGCCCACGGTCGCACACCGGTCCAGTTTTGAGCCGGAGCGCACCACAGCCCGACTTTGCCAAAGACAGCGCCAGGACGTGTCAGGTGATTTCATCCCAATCTCAGTAGGTTAAGCCTTAAAATACTCATAAAATTACATCGCATTTCTACAGAACTGTTGGACAACGCGCCAGTAGATATATGGCCGAATATGATTTTAATTTTTGTGTATGTGTTATTTTTGTTTTGTGTAACGTCTGTTCAGTGACCGTGCAGTCAGGGGCAGCGGGCGCAGAGAGCGCACTGGAGAAACGCGGTGCCACCAGACATTCTGCTGTCACTTCACAGACACCTGCACTCATCATCAGCTGTGAAGATGAGAATAACGTGTGGATTTTGGAGTCGAATAGTGTGTTTCTTGTTGTTGCTGTTTTTAGACTTTGACAGTGTGATTAACAAGTCGAGCGGCGAGCTTCAGGCTCCCCGTGTCTCCGCCGCCCGGTCCGCGCTCTGGAGGTCTGCAGCACCGTGTTAAAGACATCCACCTGCATGTCCGAGCACGCTCCTCAATTTAAGAATGGTCTTGTCTGTTGTATAACAGCTTCGGCAGCGATCAGCCCTTTCAAACTTTGTTGTGTTTGCAGCGCTGCCTCACTTCTCTACAGCAGCACTGTGCATGCTCTTTCACCATTCGTGAGTGTTTTGCATTCACCATATTCAGCTCAGCAAAGTGCACAGGTTCTCAAGTTGATTGTGATTTCTAAAAGGAATTCGCGCTGAATCGTGCGTGCGCACGGTTCTATGCACCTTTTTTGGCATATGCCATTTTAGTTTTTTGCGCACGTTCATTCCATACGCACAGTTTTATAAATGAAGCAGCCTTGTTCACGGCTCACTGTCACGTGAAGATGACTGCTGTGAACATGTCTCTTAGCTAATCCATCACAGAGACTTCATGAGGCATCCAGCATTAGTTCATATTACTGTTAAACTATAATGACTCGTGTTAGATCTGTATTTTATTTAAGCCAGTGTTCCGTCAGCTAAACGGTCTCTCTTCGGTAAAAACACCAGTATTTTCCGTTTGAGTCGTTTTGTTTCTACAGTAAGGCTACTGAAGTCATACAAAAAGATGTGGGCCTGTGACCACTTGGCAGCCTCAGATGAATGAACCCGGTGACACTGGACCCGCGACCACTGACGCGCGTGCATGGGCGTCGCTGGCTCCCCTGATGACGAGAGGAGGAGCTCACCGGAGCGCAGCGGCGGAACAGATACACAAATCCTGTCGGTACTGGTAACCTGTTCACCATGTGGCACCGGCAGCGCGCGCTCAGGTGCCTCCGCATCGCTCTGGTCTTGATGGTGCTGCTGTTGCGACCCGGCCCCGGGCGCGTGGCGGAGCTCGCGGAGGCGGCAGAGTACTCCAGCAAAACCGACTTGGACTACGAGTTCGGAGACTACCGGGGCAAGTGGTGCATCGACGACCACGGGTTCGTCTACGGTATCGGAGAGCTTTATTACCCGGGCCCCACGGCATGTCCATGCACGTGCACCGTGGACGGTCCCGTGTGCATCCAGCCCAAGTGTCCACATATCCACCCCCGCTGTACGCGGATCAGGTATAAGGGATGCTGTCCGGTGTGCGAGGCTATGGCCAGGGTCTGTGTCTACGGGGGCAAAACGTACCGGCTCCTAGAGGAGTTCAGGGTGAGAAAGATGCCAAGTTGTAATCCTCCCGCCCTGTCCCACTCACGAGCTCACAGAGCTGCAGATGGATTTATTGAGGCTGCATGCATCAGTTTAGTTGATCAGTTATGTATAATATAGGTATCAGTATATAGCTGCTTTGTGGTCGTTTCTCTTAGTTCTTTTGGCTGCATGACATAATGATAAGGGCGATGTGTTAAACACTGCATTTAATATTCTGTTGCATTAACTGAGGATAACCTAGTCTTCATAATGGCTGTGGGAAATGGACTATTTGCATGCTGTAGTGGCTCTGTACTGGGTGAAGGGTTCCCCCTTCTCCCACACTGTGCGCTGTGCATGTATTCTGTCAAGTACAGTGCATAAAATGCAGCTACATTATAGTTTACCTGTATCCACTACGGCAGGAAAGCACCATGTGTGTTTCAGTTTTATTGAGAAACATGTGCAACACATGTAAAACATCAGCTGCAGGCAGAGGACCTGTACAGGGTGGGTCACGGGATGAGGTGCTTGGGCAGGATCTCTTTGGTTCACTGAAGGTGCCCTATGGAGTTTTCTTTAAAACAAACAGCGGTTATGTGGTGTAACTCACTAAAACCCAGTGTTTGTGTCTTCAGGTCTACTAAATGTGCTGGAGCCATTTCCTTCCACACAGAATATTAGTAAATCCAATTTGTATGTTGAATCCTGCATTTATTTACATGTTTCCTTGCTAGCAGTCATCTTCTTTTTTTGTCTCTGTTGGCACACTGGAGTATACTGTAGTGTTACCATCACCTGCTTATTGGTTGAACAGTGTGAAACCACTGACAGGAGTGTGTATCATGTGACCCTCACGCACACGTCCGTGCACATATGAGAACAAAACAGGGATGCGCACATAAAATCATGGCTCCACGACGCTGATCAGAGACTCCACCGGGAACCTTTAATCCAACCTTTACAGAGCACATAAAAGTCTTTACCCCTCCCCCATGGACATTTCCATGTTTTGGCTTGTTATATTGTAGCTTTAAAAGGAAAGTAGAAATAATTTTTATTGACAGTGCACATTGTCCTACAAATATTGTCCTGTTTTAAGCACTGTCTATGTGTAACGTGCCCTTCAGTTCCTGCAGATTTAGAGCCTGCACCACCTATAAGAAAAAAAGTAGTGAGCTGCAGGGATGGCACAGGCCACCCCCGTTTGTGTAGAACTGGTCTGATTACAACAGAGCAGCCCCTCATGAAGAACCTGCAGCCTGCTATTAGGTGCTTTGCATTCACTAAGAGGGGCAGTCTTGGTTTTGCTCATGTCAATCAACAGCTTCCACGCTGACATGCAGCCATGTGCTCACTGGGAACTGAGCAGCGGGAGGACAGTGTTTTATTTGATGCAGCTAATGGTGTATTAGACAAAGTGTATCCAACCAGTTGGATCAGCTGTGTTTGTGTGTTTGTTGGGCACTGACCTGTACATGCCAACACATGTGCATGTGCTGTACAGGTTTAGTAGGCAGGCAGTCAGATTGACCCTACTGGTGTTCTTCATCTTGGTCTCATTTGTTTACTGTTAAACATGCAGAAGCCTGAAATTCAAATGATTTGTGTCTTTCAGTTGTCGAGGTGTGAGCGATGTCGCTGCGAGGCCAACAGAGAGGTGTACTGCAGCATTTCAAACTGCCCTGCCCCTCACTGTGTCAACCCCACCTACGAACCCAGCCACTGCTGCCCCATCTGTAAGACTGGTAAGTCTGTGCTGAACTGAGAAATTCTCCCCCACAACGTTGAACCCTTTCTGTTCTGGACTCTATTTCTCACAGCCTCTTATGGTGACAACTTTATACACAACATGCATCATAATCCAGTTGCAAGATTGTCATAAAAATACTGAGCATATTTACACTTAAAGGGCGATGAGCCATTTTGATTTCTAAAAGCTATTAAAATCAGTGAGCACACTGCTGCACTGGGTGACTGTTCCTTCACTACCATGAACACACACACTGTAGTTTGTTTATGCAACTTGAACACAACGGAAAGCAGTTGTTAAACTCAGGCAAATGGAAAAAATAACGCTGTAGCCGTTATCCCGGCTACTGACTCTAGTGGAATTCATGTGATGACATTTTATTGATTATTATTATTATTTGATTTCAATATAAATATGACTAGTAATTAAGCAGACAACTAGCAGAACAGAGGTACATGTAATTCCTGTAAGCCACGGATTTTCAGGAATCATAAGAAAGTTAATTTTCTAAGCAAACTAGTTAGAGATGCCCCCCAGACATAAATAGAATAAGAGTGTCCTGTATTTAATACAATAAATACAATCATAACATATTTTATCTTGCCCTTTGGGAAGAATATCCCAAAACAGAATGCAGTATCTATTTTTTAAGTATTACTGTATGTGCTATTTATGGCAATAATTTATTGTGGGTAAAATAATCAGCATAAAGAGACACCTATCTGTATGCAGTTTGCCAGCCAGCTTATAAACTTCACTGCTCTCTGCCCTTGCAAGTGCACATAGACAAAAACTTTGCTTTATATATTATGGGTTCCAACTTGCAGTCTTATTTTGGCTTCCATGCTTCCAGTAGTCTGAATGCAGGGTTTTGCCACAGCTTGATCCATGTCATTACCAGCACACATCTGTACTGATGCAGGCAGCTCGTAGCAGGAGCACAACCATGTGTTGCCATATCCCAGCTCGCTGACTCTGTCATTGTGACACTAAGTGTTTTCACCCTGCCGCTCTCAGAAGCACCACTGGTCACATCATGTGTGTGAGAGAGAGAATAGCTAATTGATAATTAATAGTTAATTGATGCTTTATGGCCACCTACAGAACCCAACATGACCATCTATTTCCCAGCTGCCTTGCTGCTTTATGGCAGTTGTCTTTAAGTTGTAGTTTCTTTTTTTACTGCTCCTCTGATAGACCAACAGGGGGACAGATGGTTTGGTTTACTGCGTCACTGTTTCTTTATTTCTACTTTTATTTTTTCATTTCTTCCCCCTTGCTTGTGCCAACTTCCCTCTTGTCAGCTGTGTTTTATCAGCCACAGTTGGATCTGGCATCAGATGAACTGTACTTCCTGTCCTCCCACTGACAGGCGTTGGTAATTGTTTCACAGGTAGCTGCCAAGTAAAGGAACCCCCATCTGTGTATTAGAGATGCAAATAGTATCAAAGGCAGGCTGCTTCAGGCATTCTGCCCGACTGGACATGTACAGTCCAGACAACATTTAACTGCTTTACTGAAAACCATTACATTACATGTGGGAGGGAAACAGAAATAGTTTATGCAGTAAGGCTTTTATTTGATCTTATTTATATATTTTTGGACAAAGCAGTAGGCTTTATCCTCTGAGGACCATGAATCTGCGCAAAATGTTACTATTTGTTAGGACATTTCAGTCTGACACTGCTGTACCTAGTGCCACGCCACTACACTGGCTAGAAAGTGCAGTTAAAACTATACAAATAGAACTGTAAAGCGTGCTTTGAAAGTATTCAGCCAAGATATAGTAAAACCTGCTGCACTGGTCCTGGTGGAAAAAAAAAAAAGAAAAACAGTTTAAGCGTTGAAACAAGCTCTACCGCGTCCAAAAACAGATACAAGTCAGGGCTGTGTTTGCCCACTGACACAAAGTACTGATTTCACTTCTTACTTGTCTACACGGAAAAGTGGAACGTGTCCAGCTTGGAATCGACCTTGCGCAAGTGTCGCGCTTGTGTCTGCACCAGGCGCGTGTTCACTTGTGCACTGGAAGCTGTTGGTGTACAAGAAGCACACAAAGGAGCCTAGAGAAACACCTCGGAGAAGGGAAAACTCCAACAAACAGTAGAATTACTGGCTATGTGGCCATTCAAAACTAAGCCCGCTTTTAAAAGAACTGCATGTTTATTAAACTAGATCATGTATTTTAACCATGTTGGGCCTATTTCTTTCTCTGTTTTGAATGATTTCTGGTTAGAACTAGTGAGCTTTCATTGGTTTGGTGGCTTTTGTGGAGGGTTTTACGCGCTAGTGACAGCCGACGTGCGGGCAGTGTAGACAGCCGGATTCAAGTGTTGCGTGAAATGCGTGTCTCAAAAATGCGGATGAAACACTTGAGGAGTAGATATGGGGGTAACTTGCCCTGCACTCTCTCTCTCTCTCTTGGTCCTCTAGGTCCCAACTGCTTTGCCGGGAACAGGGTGATCCCAGCGGGGGAGCGTGTGAACATTGACGAGTGGACAGTCTGCTACTGCACCTACCGGGATGGTGCGTGGCACGCCCACCCCCACGCCACCTGCGAGCAGCGCGCCAAACCCAGCCCGACACCCAGCGCCCGCAGTGATCCCCCCGCGGACGAGGACACCAGGGGGAGGCCGTATATTCCCAGACTGGATGCAATACCATAAAGCTTGTGCAATAAACGTCTCACTGAGGCAGAGCCGCTCTGCAGGTGCACACAAGTTCTAACTTTATCTGTTAGTGTCAGCAGACACACTGGACTTCAATATACAGACAGGTGACAAATGAAAGGAAAAACCTGAATACCTTAGTGGTGTCCTACAGCACGACACTTACCCTGAAAATGATGTGATGTGTTAACTTTGTTGGCCCTCACTAGGCCAGTTTCTCTAACCCCAAAATGGAGCAGTGTGGCATTAAGACAGCCTTTGTGATCACATATCCTGTTAATTGTTTGTGTCCTTTATTAAGCAAATATGCAAAGATCCCCTGTTTTGTATTATTGTAAAAATAATATATTGAGGTGTTGGACTCTGGGGCAAACTGCTTCTTGTTTTTTCTTATTTTGTTCTAACATTCTACTTAATAAATGATCATTAGATTGGTAATAGGCATTAGCTGCAGCTCTCAGATGCATGAAGAGGAATTAACTATGAAGATGGATGAATTGCCCCACATCGATGGGAACATCAATGTAACAGGCCACCTTTCTGTGGGTAAATATTAACTCAGTGTATCGGAAGCTGTCATTTCCTACTCAGTTTATACTTTCATACAGCTTTGTGACTTAATCTATCTGAAGTCCAGAATGTACAGTAGGTGATATACAGTAAGTAACTGAGGGAAAACAAATGTTGGGTGCAGGTAGTGGCCTGGTTTCTCTCCAAGGCCCTGCTGATCTCCATCTGCAAGCAGAGAAGCAGAAAAAAAGTCTGTGCTTCTGGTCTTGTGGTAGTATTTAAATGAAGTAATGGATACAACATTAAAGTGCCAAGTCTTATTTGAGTAGAAGGAACAGTGAGGGGGCCCTTTGAACACATTTAGCCCCTTTCTGTTTTTGAGTCTTGTTGCTGAATGGTTGAGCTTCTGGACATGAAGTATCCTCCAGGACACTGACAGGGAAGCGTATGTCTATATCCTTTCTCCACTTGCTGTGCAGTCATAAAGGGCTTTTTCTTCACCATGCAAATGATTTTCTGCTCATCCATAAGACCTGTACTGAAGTGACAAACAACTGCAAAATAAAGACTGAGCGCCAAAAGCATCCAGTTACTTTTGCCCCTTGCAGTTTAGGGAGTGTGTTAAAAGAAATATACTGCATCTCCCACACAGTTCTTTCTATAGTGATGTAAACCTACTCAAACTAAAGCGGACACTGGACACTTTAATGTAGTATCTGTTCTTTTAATTCAAAGGGAGCATTTGAAGCACAGAGCCTGAAGAACAAAATGCCCTCAGTTCAAACATCTGTCCATGTGTCTGGCGTTTAGGAGCTCCTGTCTTGGCTCTCCTCCTCTTCATGTGGGAATTTAAATCACGTTCACTATTTTGTTGTGCCTGCACAATGACAGCTAGCTTCTTGAAATGCCAGAGTATTTACTCTCTTTGTTTTTTCTTACTGTAGTGCAAATGCTTTAACATGTTGCCTGTTGTATATCTTCATCTGTAAGTAGGTCCAGTTACTGTGTAACAACTGCACAGAGGTTCACATGCAATCAGTCAACTGCAAGTTGTGAAATAAAACTGATTATCACATTACAGTCCTGGTCATAAAGCCTCTACTGCATACTCTGTTCTCTCCTGTGTGTGTGTAACCTCTCAATTGGGCAGCACGAGTGAATGTGCATGTTCTCAGGTGCTGATTGGTTGCTGCTCTGCACACAGACGCTCGAAAGCCAGCTCCTGCCTACCATTGTTTGCTCAGCTTCCAGTGTATCATATAGTGTGTCCAGTCTAGTTGTAAATAAATATTTTCCTGTGTTAAAAACCCTTTGCAGTAGAAGTGGGGTTAGCCTTTTTTGTTTTATACTTTTTCTCCTGTTTTTCATCTTTAGGAGCACAGGTTAGACTGATGTCTTTTTGTTTTACCTTTTGGTCAGGTCAGAACAAGAGGCAACGCTTTGCTGGTTTTATTTTGCTGGACCCACCCTGAAGTCATGGCAATCACAGTATTTACTGCCTAAAGTTTGAAAATAAAATAGTCTTAGAGCTTCAACCTGTTACTGCTGGTCATTACTGGGTGCTGAGATGAGGGGAGTCTCATTCATTTACGTAGGTAAACCCTAACCCCATGTCTGAAAATGTACAACAGCTTGCTAACGTAGCATCACAGGATACAAGTATCATGGAGCATATTGGCAACACAGTAGTGGTTTCACTCATCTTACCAAGCGCTGTCACTGTGGAGCTCTTTGTATAAAACAACCTTCACAAATATCACATCCATAACTGCATGATTGTACAAGTCTTAGCCTTTCACACTGCAAAACCCAAGAAGACAATCTACCCATAACTTATTGTTCAAGCACCCCTTGCTTACTGGAAGTAACCCTGATGCTCAGCAAGACGACTGTATCCACACAGAACAGTGGCTCATATTTGAATATTTTAACAAGTACCCTTCAAAGTATTGTGCTACATAAATGTAAAACACCCAAGACGTGCAGCTTGATTACCAACAGTTTTATTGAAAACAAAGGGGCGCAGAGTCCAGCTCAGGCAATGCTGCCTGCGTTGGAGGCGATCCTGGGCCACAGGTCAGCACACTCTTTGGCCACTGGGCCTGTGATTGCTGAACCTGCACATACAAAGAAGAAAGCAGTCATTTCACTTCAACACTGCATGCCTCAATAAATATATACATAAAATGCGGGATCATTGACTGCTGCACCATCAGAACCATCAGGACATTAACAGTATGTTAATATTAACGTAAAGGAAACAAAGTCTTGCAAGGTGACAACAAAGTTCAAGAAGTGGTCACTTTATTACTGAATGTATTACATGATTGTTGTTTTGGGGTTTATCCATGAACATTTAGTGGCCCTTCCACAAACACTGCACTGACTAATAAAAGCAATGCGTGGTAAAATGGAACCAAGCTGGGGCATTAACACTCAGTGACCAGGTTTCCATGTCTCATCAACCACAGTAGGTCACTGCCATCTCACCCAGTGATGAGCTCCATCTTTCTTTCAACTACAATTCACCCAGACAAGGTTCAAGGTTCAAGGAATTTATTGTCAATATGTGTGCAGGACATACAGAAAATCAAAATACCATTTCTCTCTCACCTAGTATTGGGTGCCATAACATTTAGGAACTAAAATAGAATAAAGTAGAACAGAATAAGAACTGGGCTGATGTAATTAGGATAAATCTAAATGGTACAGCCAATAAGCTGTGACTCAAAACCAAGTACAGTCAGTGACAGTAGTGCAAAACAATAATAGGAGATTATCAGATGGTTCAGCAAAGCAAGTGCTTTTGGAAGGAGGAAATCAGTTCCTACCATCCTAGCACCTCCATCAGCACTGAGGACATACAGAACTAAGTTTTTAAATACACAGATGTGACTAAATACAAGTGGAATAAATGCTGATGCAATGTTAAAAATACTTTGCTAATAAGGTGGTGAGAATCAAAGCATTTTTTGCTGTCAAACATGGCAGAACCAAACGGGAGGATGAAACAGCAACTGATAATCTCTGAGGGGATCAGTGTCTGACACATCTGGACAAGTATCTGCCTCGATGCGCTTCACTGCTTGAGGTCTTTTCACACAGGTACATACTAATCTATCAAGTCTATTATTTCCTGTGTAAATGACCCTGCAGTCAAGACAACTTACAGCAAGTATGACCTTTAACAAGAGAACCTGGTGTTGCATCCTAAAAGACCCACCTTTCATTTCTCCTTTGTTGTTTACTATGACACCTGCATTGTCCTCAAAGTAGAGAAACACGCCGTCTTTTCGCCGATACGACTTCCGCTGCCGTATCACCACCGCAGGATGCACTGTGGACACAGAGAATGGGCTTCATTCAAAGCCACACAACAAGCCTGAGCTCACCACTATTTTGACTTGACCAGAAATTACACACACAGTCACTACATTTCTGCAACAGAGTAATGACCGATTACTTCAATGCTAATTTTCAGCTGCTTATTTCTTCTCATTGCTATAACACCATGTGTACATTTCCAACAGCAGAGCTCATGTGACATTGTAAACTCTGTTTGTTGAAAATAGATGGCTGGAAAACACTTTTGTACTTCATTTGAGCTTGTGTAACCCAATTTACCCCATCCAAGTGTCTGCACTCACTGAAGCAGATTACTAAGAATAACTTAAATGCTGGGTGATGTGTAGCTTACATGGAAATACCACTATCAAACAGCTGGTCCATTCTTTGTAATACAGTAAGCTGATTCTTGAAAGTTCCCACCACAGGGTAAAAAGAGTTTCTCGCATCCATTTAAAACCCAATTCTCAACAGAAATCCATCATATTCTAGTCTTCACAGTGTTTCATTAGAGCAGGCTGGACAGACCGGTTTGTTCCACTCACCCTTCTTCCTGAGCTCTGGCTTGCCTTTCTTGACTGTGGCCATGACCATGTCACCCACTCCTGCAGCAGGCAGTCGGTTCAGACGCCCTTTGATGCCCTTCACAGAGATGATGTACAGGTTCTTGGCACCTGAAGCACAAAGAGAGAACGCAAACGTGAAAATAAAACAGCACCAGAGAACGGAAGCAAATGGACAAGGCTTTCTAAAGAATATTGTATTGAAGCGGTAATATCACAAATGACAGCACGGTCTGAGTGTGTCTCATGACTGATTGAGATAAGTCAGCCACAGTGGGTCGCTGCCATCTCACCCACAGTGATGAGTTTCATATTCCCTTCTACGACAACTCACCCAGCCACTGAACAGACAAAGCAAGTGCTTTTGGAAGGGGCAGAGTACGGAGAAAACTGTGCTAAAAGTAAACATCCTATAGTAATCCAGCATTCATCAAAACAAACTTGTTTGACACCTGCATTACGTTTAACACAACACAAAAAAATAGTGGTGTGCCTCCATATCTATGATGTTACTGGATGTTCTTCCAGAATTTTATACAATTTCCAAAATTGTACATGAAGAAATATACAACGTTCATATTTTTCCACACTTCCAGACTGGACCTAATAGTGGTAACATTTTAGACTATACACTTATTCGCTCTCTAGCAGAGTCAAAAGACAGTGACTGAAAGGAGAGGTCCTGCAGTCTCCGCTGGTCGACTAGCAATCGGTAGGTCCAACTACATATTTGGTCAATAAATGGAAAAGTGATAATGCTCTTTTACAAAACCCAGTTTGTATATCTCAACTCTGACTATACAATAGGGTAGTTAAAAATACATACCTGTGTTGTCAGCGCAGTTGATGACTGCTCCCACTGGGAGACCCAGTGAGATGCGGAACTTTGCTCCAGATGAACCACCACGTCCTGCAGGAAGACAGGACCATATAATTATCAACCCCCTCTGCCTGGCGTGTTATATAAAGTACCATCTGTATTTAATTTCACATTTAATATCAGAGCTGCTTTACAGCCTAACTTATCACATAAACAAATTAATGTTTCCCCAAAACTGACACTGAAAATTTTGATTCAGCTGTTCCCAGGTGAAGCTCAATCGGGCAGCTTTTATTTTTGCATGGTTTTTTTTTTTTTAGTAACAATCAACAAACACGTGTTCAAACACACCAGCAGGAAATAACTAGCGCTGCCATTATAACAACGTGTATGTTGCAGACAACAGTCTAACCACCGGTGACTAGCACATCCAAAACACACTTTTCATGAGCTCGAAAAAACAAAACTGACGTTTCCCCAGCCCATTAAAAACGGACACATGGTTTTACTAGGCTGCCAAAATAAGGTGATGGATGGCCTGTTCCAGTGCACCTCTTATTCACAACGTGGGTAATATCTGACAACTAACGTTACTATGCAACTCACAATTGGTTCACAAACGAATTAACCCCATCAGAGGCTGAAACTTGAACACTGTTACAACAGTAGCCACGCTGACCTAAATGTTAACTTGAAATGTGGTGTTACCGGCCCTGATTAGCTTTTTCGGATAGCCTCAACTGTTAGCTAACTCGAGCAGTTTCCGTTTACTAGCACAATTTCCAAGCATATTAACGTGGTTTAATAATGGTGTGACATTACGTATAGCCGTAATAAACCTGTCGTGAGTTATTGGAGAGCAGTAAACTCTTATTTTTGGCCCCCGTCTTTACTTGCTTCGTGTCTACATGGCGCTGAACGCGAAACATGGCTTCCGCTACCTAGCCAGTCAAAATTATATCGCTCACAAATAGTAAACTGCTTTCATATTTTAAAAACTAATCAAGCAGATATATTGTCTTCCACCCTCTACAAAAAACAAGCAAGAATATAAAATCTGGCACTGACTTAAACATGGCAGATGAATGTGGATTTCACAGACTGGAAATCATACCTCTCTTAGACATTGCCGCAGTACGGAAAGAGAGAGGTGGAGAAAGGAATTGTGGGTAATAAAGTTGAACAAAACTGCATCCGGGTCATGGTGATGCGACGTGTTGCATTCCTGGTCTGTCGGAAACATTGTAACCAATATACTGTAGCACAGACTCATGACTGGAAGATTCCCCTATATGCAACAGACAAAGAAAAAGAACCATGAGAACACTGTAACCGAGGAAGAGAACTTTACAAAACACTGAAAACATAAAGGGAAGTCATCAGTTTGGGATTGCAGGACAACTAGCTTTTATAGACACGCTGTGGTGACAAATATGTCTGACCCAGTAACTCTGAAAGGGTCAGTTCACCCAAATTACCAAATAATTAATAAGTATATATTCATCTGTGTGAGGTCTAGCCATGTTAGTTTGGTTTATTTGTCTAGGTTTTGATGATATGGCTGCCTCCACCAGTGGAGGCCATATAGTTTTATTTGAAATAGACATAGTATTGAAAAAAATATTTAAAACTGTGCAGCAGCATATTTTCAGAAACAACATCAGCTCTGGTGTCTTTCTTTGTGGAATCTGTATGTTGTCCAAAGGCTCAATAAAGAAGCTACAAACCATTAATTTAAAATTAAAAGTTCCTATATCTCCCAAAGTTAAAGAAACACATTTCAAAATTATGAATGACATTTATCTCTCTAAAGAGTTTCTTATATTACATTTCAATGTTAATGATATTTTATGTTCACTATGCAAAAACAATATTGAAACAACAGACTATATTTTTCTCATGTGATATTATGTACATAATCTGGCTTGATATTCATAAATGATAAAGACACAAATTCAAGCAATGCCAGACCTTATTTTCAGATATAACTTTTGTTATGATAATGAAAAGAAAAAATGATGAACTATGTTGTATGTCTATCCAAATTTTTCATACATAAAAATAGAATTCTAAAAGCACCCCAAATTTGCTATTTGAATTTAAAATATACCTAAAATCTTTAAGACTAATGAAAGGAACCAATACTCAAAAGCTGTATGACATGTTAAAACATTTTTCCACTGAATTAGATGCCCTCATGGACACTGGGCCTCGTCAGAAGCTGACCTATGATGTTCGCTGCCATGGAGTGGACTTTGACCCTGGCACACTGGTGTCGGTGCACAGCCCTGGATGGAGGGAGGGTCTGTCCCTTAGGCTAGAGAGCTAGTGGGTCAGGCCTTGTACTGTGATAGATACTGTCAGATGTGATGTATAGGGTGAGACCGGTCAAGCGGAACTGGGTGGTGGTGCTTCACATAGACCAACTCACACTATATCAGCCCTCAGCTCCACCTGAATGAGAATCAGGCACTGGGAGCCAGCCACCAGCTCCAGACCTCCCTTCACCAACTGCCCAGGGCCTATCAGAGTGGTCCAATGCCAATGCAGGCTTAAAGGACTTTGATATGACTATGGGTTGCTGAGGACAGCTAACCAACCAGGTGGGGGGAAGATATAGTGTGCTTCCATATAATTTAAATCTTGTGTGGAAAAAGTGAGAAAAATTATCTAAAAAGTGTTCACAGCATAGTAGGCTGCTTGGTTTGTTACTGTCAAAATGTGTTTTTGAGAATGCATCTTGGATACCATCTGTCAGACACTATTTTCAAATATAATGTGAGCAGTTGGACGAAGCTGAGGTCTGTACAAAACATGTTGCTCTTTACAGGAACAAAGAACAGATTGTAATAATGTAAAATTTAACTACACATTTATTGTTTTATTCAGTAATATCACACAGTCTGACCAATGAAAATCTCAGTACCTTCAGAGCTCATCTATGTGTGTCAAGTGCCTTAGATCTAGAGAACTGGATACGACACCACCACTCAGCCTTCCTGACAATTTGCTCCCTAGTAGCCACTCGTATCGCAATGAAAAAAAATCCACATAGACCAACATTATATACTGCAAACAAGATTGGTTTTTATATTTTCTATTATGGATTTTTAATCCATGGAGATTCATAATTTATAAAATTTGTGATACCATCACAATGTAAAGTCTATGGATTGTGCATGAATGCAAGGGCAGGGCCAGCAGGGAAAATACTATTGCATATGTGCAATGGGCTTCACGGCATGGAAGCAAACCCAAATCCTAGCAAATTTTAGCAGGCCCAAAGATGGGTACCATTCTGGGGTCCAGTACTGTAACTCATCCATGGTCAGGGTGTCGCCTCCCAGCGTCTCTGTCGACTGTAAAGGTCAAATGTCGAGTGGGAGGGGCATGGTGAGGGCCGGAGCTTGCAGTCAGCTGCCTCCTCCTCTGGTGAGAGGGGCTTCTGTCTGAACAGGTCAGAGGTCATAAAAGGGAGGAGGGATGGGCCATCTGTTGCTTTGCTGTCATGGGAGTGGGTGGGTGAGGGCAGCAGCAGCCTATCCTGCATTGCCTGGCTGATCAGCTGATCCTTCTGCATGTTGATACTGACCAGTGAGGTGAAGAGATGCTGAGAGCGAGCGACATTCACTCCTACAAACAGACATACAGAGAGAAAGAGACACGGTGGAAATGTAAACAAGGTTGTGAAATACAAAATCAGAGGCCTATTTGAACAAAACAAAATCAAACTATCATTTATCAGATCGAGTTGACTGTTAAATTCAGCTTCTCTTACTGATGTCACCAATGACCACACATTTATAAACCTTTATAATGCCAAATCCAACTAATAAAATAAATATCTGTCCAAATAAGAAAAAATATGAAAAGATTCAGTAAAAAGTCATGTCGGTGATCCAGCATCTAAACCAATCGGCTCTTAGATCAGGTGACTGCCAGACACTTCCCCTCATGTTGTGAGGTCTTGCAGTGCGGGGAGAAACCTACAGCCACCTTGATCTCATGAGGTTACCGTTGCCTATGTTTCCATGATGTCAGAGCAAGTTGCAATCAATCTATCCATCATATATTACGTATACAGTGATTGCTAGTGATCTACTCTGCGCTGGCCTGGCACATCTCGAACAATCTGAATGACACAATGATGTCATCCGGGGTTTGTGCTGATGCGTCTCATTTGACTTAAAAAGCCTCCTTTTTTCTCTCATTTGTGTCTTTTACTTGCACCATAGTCTTAGTTTGCATTGAAAGAAGATGTCAGTCCCTCTGAACCAAAACCTGAATTTGACAAAGACACAACTGAACCAGGCTGCAGCTGTTAAAGGTATGCCCTGGAGTTTGCATTTGCAGAGAGTGCAGAGTAACTACCGCCAGCCCAGCTGTGTACCGATATTCTCTAACATGACTATCTCTGTGTGATTTCCCTTAAAATCAACAGCTTAACAACACTTGGATATTAATTTAAAAACCAGTATTTTGTATTTATACTATGAATAAATCAGTAAAACCACAGTTTGTAAAGTTACTGCTCAGACAGTAGCAAGTAAGGTTTATAATAAATCACTATAGTTTATATATTCCCTTTACTAATTTAGACCTGCCAACCTTGAACAAAGTCAGAGTACCTCCCCCTTGGGGGTAATTTTATTCAACAGTTGTCAGTACATAAATATTGTTCTGAAAATGTAAATTATTTGATGTTCAATTATTAGCCTGCAGATCCCTGATTACTTTGCCTACTTAAATGACTGGTGAACAAGATAGCTTGTGTACAGATATATGTACATAACATTAGGCTAACTATAAGTTAACTAAAATCACAGTCTCAACTCTCCACATCCCCCCAAATCCTTTATCTCTTTAAAGGAGCTTAAAGAACCGTCTTCACTTGAGGAACCACCCAACCAGAGTGAAGAGGGGGGAACAAGAGGTATAAAATCAAGGTCAAGAGTGTTTCTGTCAGCTTATGGATCCTAGCTACTGTCTCTTGAAATGACATTAAAGCTACATATTGTCAATCATCCCAAATGTAGTGCTACAATTGGTCGAACTCTTCTTTTATTGCTTTTTGGCAGGAAGACCTATGTCTATGGGTTAGACGCTGGTTGGGGTAGATTTTAATGCTACTGCACAGCGGGACAAACTCACATGGTGTCACCAGCTTTTTGCTTACTTTATAGTAACAAATCATATCAGCGCACTGTGATATCAAAATGCACACCAATGTGCACATACAAGTTGGTAGGTCTCCTAACTAGAGTTACAGTTACCATAGATCCAAAATTTGAGCAAACTGCGAATGAAATAAGGTAAATGAGAAGCATGTACATGTCTTTCTGTGGTTGTGTGAATAAATTTTAGTTCATGGACATAATAGCCAGTCCTCACAACTGATTAAAGTGACTTGGTTTTAGGGTTCAGGTTAGAATTAGGTTTAGAGTAAATACTGGGGTTTGGGTATTTAGTTGTGGCGATTCAAATAAGGGGTTAGGGAATGCATTATGTCAGTAAGTGTCCTCAGAACTATAGAAAGACAAGCATGTGTGTGTGTTACCTTCAGTAGCTCTGGTGTTAATCAGGTTTTTGGTCATCTCTGATCTCAGTAGAGTCTGTTGAATGGCCTTCTGGGAGTTAAACTCCTCCCCCTGCAGGGCAACATACGGGTTGTTAATTGACTCAGTGATGATTTATTGATATCCTATTGATAAGCAAACGTTTGAACCTGTAGTGACTGAAGCTTCGCTTTCAGAGCCAAAGTGGTGTTTAGCTCCGCCCTCTCTAGACACCCTGGATCTTGATTGGATGCTGCAGGAGGAGGCTCCACTGAATGTCTTTGGGCTCCACCAGGCAGAGGACAGGAAAGTTTTTTTTGATTAATATAGGACCTGATTTACTCAGACACTCAGTGTAAACTAGCTGACTCTGGTTACCATGGTGTCGTCCTCTGCTCCTCCTCTGGCCTCTGACTGCCTGCTGAGACGGGACATCTGGGCTCACTGTGCTGTGAGGCTCTGGTGTTACTGTGATGACCACTGGCTCTTCAAAACACACCTTCATGAGAACAGACAGAATGATGGAATGTTGTCGTCATCATCATGTATGCACATGCACAGTGAACTTGGGGGGGGGCGGCAGTAAAATGAACCTACATAAAAACTATTTTTGTGCAGTACATTTCTGCTGTTAGTCATCCTGGTGAAGGCCATTTGTCAAAAAAAAAAAGTCAAAAAGAGGTCAGAGTCAGATTAAACACTGCAGTGGTGCTTATATGTATTAAACATCTTTTATTGTGAGTTAATAAAAGTCAGAGTACTAGCTGCATCGCATGGCACGTTGTCCAGTTTGAAAAGAACGCACACTTCAGTGAAAGTGCCAGCAGAAATTAGAGTGTGAAATCTATGTTGAGGCTTTGCATCAATGACATCAGATCGCTGGTTATTGATTGTTACATGGCTCAATACTGATAGATTGCTGCACCACAAAATCATCACCTGTGTGCTGCCCTTTCTTCTGGTCTGTCCCTGGGGGCGGGACTTCAGCTGTGACTGGTCAATAGTCTGACTTGTCTTTGGTGGGCGGGGCTTCAGGTGTGTATTGCCCGTCTTGGAAGCGGGACTGACTGTGATGGACAAGTCTAGTTCGGGGCAGGGAGTCAGAGAGGAGGCAGAGGCAAGGGGGTGTGGGGCTGGGTGAGGAGATGGGGAAGCAGAGAAAGGGGACGAGGAATTCTTCATCCTGACGGGTAACAACACAGTGAGACATGTTTGTAATTTTCAGTGGAATACTCCATTAAAAAAAAAAAAAAAAAAACCTAAATAACAAGAAGTAATGCAAACAGTTTTAATACACACATACAATATTTGTGTAAATAAATACTGAAAAAATACAACATAGAAGTAGAAAAGGGGTAACATGTATATTTGTAAATACAAAGCTATTTTATATTCTAGACATTTGGGTCAATAAGCTAATTGGCACCTGTTAGCCTCCAACTGGATACAACGTTAACATTAACTGAAGCGAGTTAGCTTGTGAACAAGTGCTAGTTCGCTGAATAGAAAACTAAAGTTAAGTTACTTACCACCCTATTTAAACTGGAGTCATTGTGATTTTTAGTTGGCAAATGAAGCCAGTAATTAACCCGTTAGATCCCGAAGTTTATAACCATATTCAACTGTCACTTTCAGCGAGATTATCAGCGATACAAGAATGAGGCTAACCAATTAATAACTAACGCTATATGGTAGGGAGTCAGTGTAGACAATTAAAAGTTAACGCTAGCTAATTCGGTTCTGAATTCTGTTTCATACATACTTAAGTTTAGCTTTTTTTTTATATGCAATCAATGATTTCACGCAGTAGGATGAACAATCAAGCTAGACCTAGCCATTAACACTGTATGTATTACCTGGTTTAATTCGACCAAAACAGTCCCCAGCAGCACAGGATCTACTCATACAAAACACATATCGTCCCGTCTCTCTGTGAAGATGATCAAAACGTTTTTATTATCCCGAATTTTCAAAAGGAAACGAACCGTTCCTCTTTTAAATTCCCCTCTTTTCTTGATACGCCTTCTTCTTCTTCTTCTTCTTCTTCTTCTTCTTCTTCCTGTGGTGTTTATTGGCGGTTTGCAAGACAATTTAAGGTGCATTACCGCCACCTGCTGGGCTGGAGTGTGAAACAACACTTCCTCCTCCTTCTTAGGTTCAATGCCGGGCTACATACCAACTTAAAAGTTGTATGCCACTGCACCGGAGTGCGTAACATCATTCCTCTAAGTGGATTATATTCTGCACAAAGACACCCCCACCCCGAGTGTTTAAGATTTATTAAACAAAGACAACAAATTATAAATATATAGAGTGTATATCTACCAGGGGAAAATCATAAAAGGTAAATCATACATAGACCAAATTTAGCAAAAATTGTATGTCTTTATAGTGTTTCACATTCTGTTTCAATCTGGAGTCTGACTATTTATTTTTATGTATGTAAAATTTCCATTTTAATATGATTAATTGCACATAAATCCATGTAGCTCAAGTTATCTTCAAAGCCGAAAATAGTGTTTTTCCTGTATATGGATCTCTCCAAATGAAATGCTCAATGTCTATCCACAATATCTTGGTATAAATGCAATTAAAAAACAAATGAGAAATAGTTTCTCTTACCAGATTTTTCTTTATTGCTAAAGTATTTCTCACCAGTCAAACCATATTTCATGCCAGTTTTTACATAAATGACCTGTGGCCTTTAAATACATCCCTGTGTACCAATGTATGGCTGTTGTTGTTCTTCTGAGCTTTTGCACTTGGCAAACAAATTGGTGAATTACTGCCACCAATTGGTAAGGAGTGTGGGTCAAGAGTCTACTTACAATAATCTTAAGAAAATCAAAAATAAATGCAAATCATATTCTCTCAATTAGCCTAGTTGTTCTAAGGTACTGAAACAGAAACTGATTACAATTATTTCCTGAGTTTTTTCTCAAAATATTTGTTGGCTCATTAGCCACTTTTATAAGGTTTTGAATTAGGTCTAGCAATTATTGGTTATCCCCCCCTTTCTCCTCCTCTCCTTCATCCTCTTCTTTGTCTAATAGACTTCTGGCAAGCAGTAAACCATGAGATGTAATGATGCCCTCTGCATCTCAAAATTCTTTCATGCAGGCCAGTGGAGTGTAAATACTTTAAGACTGCTGACCTCACAATAAGTTGGAAATTTTGTTCTGGCAAACAAATGGACTTGAAAATAAGAGGAGAATCACAAATCTGCTCCTTGAGTAACTGCTGTTTTTAAATTCTCAGCACTTCTCCAGAAGTAAAGCCTCATTTTTTTACTCCTGATTATTAGTGAGGTCTCCAGCACTTCCTCCTCTTCTTTGTTTTTTCTAAGTAATGGTGCATTACGGCCACACTAGTGGTGGCTGTAATGCACAAAAGTCAAGTACACATTACCTGTTGAAGTGATTTAAATCCAAATTTTCTCCCAATTGACTCAGATCTAATCTCTTTGCGGACTTGTGAACAATCCACTAGATCCCTAGATCCAGTTCATAGCCCATATGCTGATACATTCGAAGGCTGAAGACTGAATAATGACCTGTCTCCTCTAGGACTGACTGTAGTGACAGTAAAGCTAAACTGGAATCTGAACACAAAATGGCCTTGTCTGGTCTGAGTATTCTACCCTTTAAAATTAGAGTATTCAGTTACCTCATTTTAAAATCTAAAACATATACTCCATCCATCCGATGCTCAACGCGGGTATGCACATGCGCTCACACACACACACACACACACAGAGGGATGATGCACCGAACCTTCCTATTCTGGCAGGGATGGTTAAGAGGCAGGACTCCTCCAGGTTTGGACAGTGGACCACTAGAACTAACTCGACATACTTTGTACATGCAGTACAGTAAAACTAATGTCTTGGTACATACTGCGACATATCTATGACTTTTATTTATAGCTAAGCAAAAGACTCAGTTAATGCATTACTGTAGACATCCTTTCATATAGTTATACTATGATTGTGCTGTTAGGTCTCGGGCATGGGAAGGACCCAAATATGCAGACACAGGCCAAGGAATAGCTCAAGTAGAATTTTAATATACAGGAAACTGAACACAAGACTAAGGGTATAACTTATGGAGCTCAACCTGACAAAGCATAACAAAAGGAAGTTGACAGAATTGACAACAAACTAGGTAAATTAATTCAAAACTAGTGATGGCCGTCTGACACCGATGCTCCAATACAAGCTTCAAACTTGAAGAGGCATTTTCCTTGAACCACCGCTTCAAAGCTTGCTTTGGTGTGGAAGAAGACACGTGACCGATGACGTCTGAAGCAGAAACTGCTTCGATCCTCTGAGTGAATGAAGTGACTGGTTCAAACAGTTGATACTGCTTCTTAACACTAAGACCTTGCTGTGCGTGCTTCAGCAGTTTCATAGGCACACAAAGACATTATGTACATGACAGATCCTCCCTTGGAAAGATGTGAAGATCCTCTGATCTACTGGAATGAGCACAAAAATGTTTACCCACATTTGTTTTGGCTAGCAAAGCAATACTTACAGTATGTACACCAGCCTCATCAGTGCCACGTGAACATGTGTTTACAAAAGCTGGAGAAGTTTTCAGCAAGAAAAGACACCGGCTTAGTCCAAAAACAGTGGAAAAAATAGTTTCTCAATAAAACACTGCTGAACATAAGTATTTGAACACCTGAGAAACAGCAAGAATTCTGGCTCTCAAAGACCTGTTACTGTGCCTTGAAAAAGTCCACCTCTACTCCACTCATTAATCTAAATTAGTAGCACCTGTCTGAGCTCCTTAATGGGTAGGGCTTCTATGTTCAGTAGGTAACATGTGAAGTGCACTCCCTACACCTACCAGCGGGTGTCTCTCTAACACAATATTCACAGGCTGCAGTGCTGTTCAATTATGTGTGGGTGGGAATATGGGAGATGGAGATATAAAAAAATGAAAGACTTTATTGCTTTGGGGGACACACATGCATATATGGCATACATATGTATATGCGAACTCATGCACAAGCAAAGACACTCAAAGGATGGGGGCAGCAAGAGAAGCAGCTGGGGATCCAATAAATTAGAGATGATTGAAGATTACAGTTTAATATAACAAATCTGTGGGACCTTTTCTCAGGTGTTCAAATACTTATGTTCAGCAGTGCAAGACAAATAAATTCTTTAAAAATCATACAATGTGATTTCCTGATTTTTTTTTTTTTTAATTCTGCCTCTCAGAGTGGGAATGCACCTACAATGTGAATTTCAGACCCCTCCATGATTTCTAAGCGGGAGAACTTGCAAAATCACAGGGTGTTCAAATACTTCTGTTCCTCACTGTACATAATCACACCCTGCCCTAGTTACATAATCACACCCTGCCATCCTAGTACATCCTCTTTCCCCAAACACGCCTTCTCCCAACTACTACACTACATACCTTTATAGAATCACCCAACCGATCAATCAATCTTGACAAAAATGTATTTACATCATTCACACAAAGCCTAGTTACATTCATCACATAGTAAGACATTGTTTTGCTGTCTCCTATTTTGCCACTAGATGGCACTGAAATGAACCTTTGAATGAATGAAGCAATTTTCGGTACAATTGATGAAGTGGTTCAATAAACCACTAAATAAAAGCAATAAAACCAATAAAAGCACCAAACAGAAAGCAAGTCCACAAACCATAACATGTGTTATGCTGTTCTTTCCCCATCCTGTTGCTGGGTCTGTCTGAGAGGCTATACTCATGTAAAGTGAAAATAGTGACTGATTTATACTCATTATGAAACCACAGACTTCAGTTCACTTCAAACCAAAAACAGAAGAATCAAAGATGTGTCACAGCACAGACTTCCTGGAAGGGAGAGGAAAGAGAAGAGGGCATGTTAGATTTCTGATAAGTCACTTTTTATGCATTAACTATCCCCATCTCTCTTCATCTCAGACACACAGATATTGCATAAAGTTCTGTTACTGAGTCCTTTTTATTCATCCATCTCTTAGACACAGTGAGCTTACAGATTACATACTGTAAGGATGTGATATTCGTGTGTGACCAACATTCGAAGTGCAATTAGATGGTTTTTGATGCTTTTATGTCTCTGTGTCCCACTCAGACACATCCCTACCTCTTGTTCTTTCGGCGGAGAATGGCCTTGTTAATCTCCCTCAGCAGAGTTTCCTTATTGTTCTTCATGTTTGTTTTCGCTGTCTCCAACACAAAGTTAATCTTGTCCTGGCTGTAGGGAGCCTGGAAGGTAGAGAACTCCTCCATCTTTGCTTTGAACTCCTCTGCATCTATAGAAAACAGTGAAGACATGTTCAAGATCTAATCACATGACACATTGATAAAAGTTTAAAGCAAGTGTTGAAGAATGTGTTATAACGATTAGGCGATAACATTACTTTCCATAGAGTTACTTTGAGAAGTAACTTGTCATATATAAAGCAAGTGTTGAAGAATGTGTTATAAGAATTAGGCGATAACATTACTTTCCAGAGACTTACTTTGAGAAGTAACTTGTCAAATAGCAAAACAGTATTGTTATTTATGCTTTAATAATGTACAGTATACTGGACATACAGAATCTCTTCAAAAATCTTGCACACTTGAGTGAAGCCAAAGCGGAGGCTCAGGGTGCCCCCAGATTTGATTGTCCACTGATCAGAGTCTTTCCATAGAGTTACTTTGAGAAGTAACTTGTCATATATCAAAACAGTATTGTTATTTATGCTTTAATAATGTATACTGGACATACAGAATCTCTTCAAAAATCTCATCAGTGGTCACACACACATCCTAACTGTTTATTATTATTAATTTTGCACACTTGAGTGAAGCCAAAGCGGAGGCTCAGGGTGCAGATTTGATTGTCCACTGAGCAGAGTTGGGCACGCTGTGTGTGTGTGTGTGTGTGTGTGTGTGTGTGTGCACGTGCAGCAGCGATGTCCCCAGCTGGGAGTGAATAAGGAGCACAGCCAAATTTAGCTAAAGAAAGCACTATGTTTGTCTCATTTTTACACAAAATAAACATTTTCATTCTT